TCTCTCACACACACATATTCTGTCTCACTCACACACACACTCTGTCACACACACTTGTGTCTCTTTCTCACACACTGTTTCTCTCTCACACACACCGTCTCTCATACATACATCCTCTCACACAAACATACACACTCTCTTACATACACATATTCTCTCACACTGTCTCTCTGTTTCACACACACACATTCTCTCTCTCACTCACACAGATACACACTCTGCGTCTCTCTCACACACACTGCATGTTTCTCACACACTCTGTCTCTTTCATACACACATACTTTCTCTCTCACAAACACTGTCTCTCACACATACATACACTCTCTCACACAAACTCACACACACTCTTTGTCTCTCTTACACACACACTGTCTCACACACACACTCTCTCCTCTCACACACTCTCTGTCTTCCACACACACACATACTCTGTCTCTCTCACAAACACCATGTCTCTCTCTTTCACACACACACACATTCTCTCTCTCTCACACGTACTCTGCAAACAATGGGTAAAGCACAGGACTGAGGCTAACACTGACACTCTATCTGCTAGGCTTGGGACTCGACCAAGAGGCTCTGGGGAAATCCAAGTGTCATCTTCCACGGGAGCCTTTCCCTTTGGCCCTCAAACACTGGAGCACATTACAGTGCCTGCCCACAGGCATCTCCCAGGGAGCACAGCTCATGGCCCTGGTGCAGATCAGTCACCTGGAGAACTGGAATCTCTCCAGCATGCTTCTCATTCCAGCCTGGCCACCCATGCGGCTCTGTGTCCTCCCACAGCCCTGAGCAGCAGCCCAGGGGTGGGATCTCCCTCCTCTCCCAGGCTCGGCCAAGTCTGATGTGCTGGCTCCTCTGGCGTCCAGCCCGTAAAGATGGAGGTGCAGCCTTGGTTCCAGCCCCTGTATGGCCCCATCTATGCCCCCCAACCGTGATGATCTCATCCAGTTTAACGGTTTCAAACACATCAGTGTTGATAACTCCAAGCCTGTAACTCCAGTCCTACCTCTTCACTGAGGCCCAGGCTTACATTTCAAGTGTCTCCTTCATGTCTCAACTCAGAGATCCAACAGGCATGTCCAGCTCAACATGACCAAAACCAAATTCATGGCATCTCCCCACAAACACTCTTCTCCCAGTCTCCCTCATTTCAGTAAATGACTCCACAAAATGTCCCTAGTTCTGAAGCCAACAATGTAGGCTCCATCTTCAATTCCTCTCCTCTCACCCCTGGGCCAGCAAATCTTAGCCAGTGCAGCTTCCAAATTCACCAGCTCCTGATCACTTCTCAGCACCTCCAGGGCTCCCACCTGAGGACAGCTGCCACCTCCGGCATCCACTTAGCCTTTGTGGGACTCCTCCCGTGGAGTATTGGGGGGCCTGACTTGCTTCTAGCCAACAGAACATGGCAAAGGTGATGGACTGTCACTCCCATGATTAGTTTTGGAGACTCGTCTTGGGCAGACTCCTTCTAGAGGCCCTTCTGCTGGTTTGATGAAGAAAGTGGCCATGTGGAAAAGCCCACTTGGCAAAATGCTGCGGGCGGCCTCTCACCCACACACAGCATGAAGCAGGGACCCTCAGTCATCCTACAGCCACAGGAGATGGATTCTCTCACTGAAGCATCAAACCAGTTTAGACATTAGCAGTCACTCATGCCTCAGGGGCCATGAAGGATTTAAGAAGAGAGGTGGACAGAAAGTATGAGACCAAGGTATTAGCCCTTGAAAGAACGACTGTCCAAAGGTGCAACAAACCACGCTCACTGCCTTCTCTAGCTTCTAGCTTTGCTATTTTGACTAGCGTCTCAACCAAGTGGCCCTAGGGCATCCCTGGGTGGGCAATCGGTTAAACGTTCAGTGGCTAACTGAAAGGCTGGAGGTTCCAGTCCACCTATATGCTCCCCAAACAAAAGGCCCAGTGATCTACTTCTGAGAAATCAGCCTTTGAAACCCTATGGAGCACAGTTCTACTCTGACACACGTGAGGTCACCTTGAGTAGGAGCGGACTCCACAGCAACTGGTGCTTTGGTTTTCCAGGGTATGAACGTCTCCCTAGACTTGCTGCCTCCAGGCTTGGAGCCTTGAGAATGGTCTGATGTGGGGAAGCTGTTCACAGGAACCAGGACGGAATGGGATTTAGTCATGGACACCCTGATAAATCCTCAGTGTCGATGCCAACCATGACAGCATGCAGGCAAAACGAGAGGCAAATCAAGGGTGGGGGCAGGCAGTGGTAACTGGGCCTGGGGATATTTGCATGCTTGCTGGGCCCAGTCTGGGCGAACTCCTTCTAGGAGATGGACAGATTCAGAGCCCATGCACTCTACTGAGTTTTCTCTCCACGAAGGACCCAGGAAGGACGGTGGGCCAGGACCCCAGGTGGCCGCGGGATGCATCTGGCACTCGAGACATTCTTCATGCTGCTCTTCGTGCTGCTGTTCCTGCTGGGCATTGGGGCCAACGGCTTCATCATACTGGCCCTGGGTGGTGAGTGGCGGCGGCAAGGCCGGCTGCTGCCCCCCGCCCAGGCCTGGTGCTGCTCACACTGGGCGTGGCGCGCCTCTGCCTGCAGTGGGTGGGCCTGGTCAGCAACTTCTACTACGCCAGGGATCTGGTGTAGTACTCGCGTGGGCTAGCACGCCAGCTCTTTGGCCTGCACTGGGACTTCCTCAACACAGCCACCTTCTGGCTAGGTGCCTGGCTCAGCATGCTCTTCTGCACCAAGATTGCCAGCCTCAGCCACCCTGCCTTCCTCTGGCTCAAGTGGAGGCTACCGGCCTTAGTACCCTGGCTGCTTCTCGGCTCCCTGGCCGTGTCCACTGTGGCCACCCTACTGTTCTTCTGGGGAAACATCCTCATGTACCAGGGATTCTTGACCAGAGACTTCCTGGGGAACAAGACCTACAAGGAGTGCAGCCACAGGCTGGAGATCCACTATTTTCTGCCCCTGAAGCTGGTCACGCTGTCAGTGCCCTACTCGCTGTTTCTGGCCTCCATGGCGCTGCGGATCGGCTCCCCATGCGGACATGCACACAGGATGCAGCCCCACGAGCCCGACCTGCAGGAACGGCACTTCCAGGCACACCCGCGAGTGCTCAAGTTCCTCGTCTCCTTCCTTGCCCTCTATGTAGTGTCCTTTGTGTCCCTCATTGTCGAAGTGGTGGGCTTCAGAGGGACTGGTACTGGCCATGGCAGATCTGCATCTACCTGTGCACCTCGATCCACCCGTTTATCCTCATCCTCGGCGACCTCAAGCTCCGAGGGGTGTGTAGGCAGCTGCTGCTGCTGGCCAGGGGCTTCCAGGTGGCCTAGGGCACGGGCTCCTTATCCAGAGCCCCAGGGAACTAGTGAGGATGCAGGACCACTGCCCACACTATGGAAATATTCCCATGGACAGAGGGAGCTCCGGGATGCGAAGGAGAGGAGGAGAGTAAAAGTGGGGACTCTCTGAGCTGCTTCCTCTCTTAGGGATACTGTTAAAACGGGCCAAAGTTCCCAAGGAACCAGTACTGCCCAGAAGGTCAGACTGGATGATTGCTGGCTACTCTCTGCTCCTATCCCTTCTGTTACCTGGGCGCCTGCAGCTAAAAGTCTCACCTGCCTCTGGAGAGTTCGGAGAAAATGTGTGCGTCAAGGACTGAGCCATTATGTTGATGGGGTGCAGTGACCTTTGGGGGACTATGTAATGGTGACTAGGAGAAGCCTGAGGGGCGGTGTCCAGGGCTCACAGTCTGGTGGCCTGTCCCCTTGTGGAGGTCCTTTGTCTCTTACACAACCTGGAGAATTTGGTTCTCATGTATTGTCATTACACCACACCCTCACTTTGCTCCTTCATATTTCCACTTTTCTGCTTTGGATTTTTTTTTTCCTGAAGTCTGAGTGGCAGCCAGACTTTTTTTTTTTATTATTCCTTTAGAGAAAGACACACTGTGATTTTCTTCCTTGTCAAGTACTCTCTGGGACTGTTTTCCCCCCAAGCAAATGTCACAATGTCACATCTGCCTTGAATAAACATGTAATTTTCATTCTGATAAACAAAGACTCAAGAATTTCACTTAGTTTGTGTCTGAAAATGAACTTTTTTTTTTTTAAAAAAGCATCACCCTATTAAATTTTATGTTTAAGTATTGCTTTAAAATGATTTGCTCCAATTACAGAACAAATGTTTCTGGAAATAATTTTGGAGAAAATTTTAATTAGATTTGGATGTCTCTGAGGCAGGCTCAAAAGTTTTTGCTAAAAGGCTTCAATATGCAAATTTCAATTTTTTCTATATTATATATATATGTACACACATTCATGTATATATACATATGCATGTATGTATACATATAAACCCAGAGAAAACCAAACCCATTGCCATCAAGTCCATTCCAACTCATAGTGACCCTGCAAGACAGAGTAGAACTGCCCTACGAGGTTTCCAAGGAGTGGCTGGTGGATTCGAACTGCCAGTCTTTTGGTTTGCAGCCGAGCTCTTAACCACTGCACCACCAGGGCTCCTATATATGTGGTGCAGTGCTTAAGTGGTTAAGAGCACCTGACAGCACTTAACCACTGTGCCATATGTATACATAAGAGCTCACTACTAGCCAAATGTCGGCAGTTCAGATCCACCAGTCACTCCTTGGAAACCCTATAGGTTTGCTATGAGTCGGAATTGACTTGACAACAATGGTTTTTATACATATATGGAAATATATCTATGTAAGGCAAATATAGTTTGTGTGACAGACATGTAAAACACCACTAATGGTGGATAACGAATCATTGGGAAGGGATTCTGTGCTCACCAGAGGGTATGACTCTAAAAGACTAAATCTCTTACCTAGCATCTTGATATCAAATGAGGGAGGTGAGAGAGAAGGGATGAAGAGGTTTTTCTTTCTGTTTTTTGAAGATGTAAAGGGGAAAGGAGGAAAATGATAACAGTTAGGAGTATTATATATGATAGTCGATGATATGATTTAATATTAATTATATAGTGTATTTATTATATAATACATTATGAGTTCTGGGTGATGCAGATGATTAATGTGTTTGGCTGCTAACTGAAAGGTTGGAGGATGGAGTCCACCCAGAGGCACCTCGGAAGAAAGGCCTGGTGATCTACTTCTGAAAAACTAGCCAGTAAAAACCCTGTGGAGGTTCTACTCTGACACACATAGGGTCACCATGAGTCAGAGTTGACTCAATGGTAACTGTTTTTTTTAAATATTCCCTAGCTATGGACCTTTAAGTTTTACTCTATATCATGTTTTGTAATATCGCTGTACTGAGCTGTTGCATTTAGGAAAGAAATGAAAAGACTAAGAGCACACGTTGAGAATCAGATTTGGTCACGGGAAAGCAGACTTTTTGGGGACCTGGACCATGCTCAGCGCTGCGCCGCCTCTTGCTGGCTAAGCTGCTCATGGCTGGTCCAGGGTTCTGCGTCAGGAGCAGCCTGGGACAGGTGCGCCTGACATTGGTCTTACCAACCAGCAGCAAAAACCACAGTCCACTAATAAAGGTTTTATTTCATAAAAATGAAAGGCATGTTAATACAAACTGATGTATAAGCCAGGCTTGTTCACATTTTTGGGATCACAGACTGAGAACTTATCCAGGTAACTCACATTGTTTGCGTGCTTGGGGGAAGGCAGCGCCGTGCTGGGGTGCAGTGAGCGCCACGCAGCCCGGGTGTCCCCTCATGGGGTTCACAGTGGGGAAGCTGGGTGAGGTGCCTGCCACGCACGAGCAGTGCGATCGCACAGTGGGAGAAGTGTCTAGTGTGCCTAACAGGAGGCCGGCGAAAGGCTTCCCTTGGGAGGCGAGGATGAACCTGCGTGAGAGATACACTTTGTACAACGATTCCTGGCGTTCGCTGACCCCAGCTTGTCAGTGAGCCTCAGTCCAAGAGCTCCTGCATTCTGCACTGGAATTCCTGGTCCTGAGACCATGTTTGTTTGGGGTAAGGAGAGGTTGGATGACGCTGTCCTGGAAAAGCAACAGGACCTCCATCAGGGACCCTACAGGAGGCCATGAGAACATCCAGGTGCCTTCAGAAGGGCCTGGACCACCTCTGTTCAGTCCACCTTCCTTCCAAGTGAGGAGTTCCTCCTGCCTCCCTCATGCCATCCTTTGTTCTCCAGAGGGCTGAGCGTTACTCTGCACCACCTCTGACCCTGAGTTTTGCTCTCCTGGCTTTAAGCATTGATACATTTTCATGGAAAAAAGAAAAGGATTGGAAGGCCTTCCCAGACTCGTTCCTTTAATGGCGTTGGTAAGACTTTGGCTCTTTTTTTTGCAAATCGATGTCAGAAAAGCAAACTCCAAATTCCCCCTCCCCTCCAACCAGGTTGGGTCCTGTGCAACCAAGGGTTTGCCTCTTGAGATATGGAATGAGATTAGAAACACAGGGTTGTTATCACAGGTGACACTTAAAGAAAAAGCCAATGAAGCTCTGTTTTCAGCAAGCCTTCATAGTGTCACCCAGGTGGTGTGGTTGTCTCTTCACATTAAAAAAAACATGAGGGCAACGCTGTTGGTAGGTGCCATTGAGTTGGTTCCAGCTCATAGTGACACTTTGTACAACAGAACGAAACATGTTGTTTGATTTCTTGACTGCTGCTTCCGTGAGGGTTGAGAGTGGAGCCTAGTCAAATGAAATCCTTGGCAACTTCAATCTTTTCTCCATTTATCATGATGTTGCTTATTGGTCCAGCTGTGAGGATTTTTGTTTTCTTTATGTAGAAGTGTAATCCATACTGAAGGCTGTGGTCTTTGATCCTCATCAGTAAGTGCTTTGAGTCCTCCTCACTTTCAGCAAGCAAGGTTGTGTCATCTGCATAATGCAGATTTTGCCCCAGTCCTGATGCCCCGTTCTTCTAATGATTGAAGACCAGACAAGTTGTGGAATGACATCAACGACATCCTACATGAAGAAAGCAAGAGGTCATTAAAAAGACAGGAAAGAAAGAAAAGACCAAAATGGATGTCAGAATAGACTCTGAAATTTGGTCTTGAACGTTGAGTAGCTAAAGGGAACGGAAGAAATGATGAAGTAAAAGAGCTGAACAAAAGATTTCAAAGGGCGGCTCAAGAAGACAAAGTATTATAATGACGTGTGAAAAGACCTGGAGTTAGAAAACCAAAAGGGAAGAACACGCTCGGCATGTCTAAAGCCGAAAGAGCTGAAGAAAAATTTCAAGCCTCGAGTTGTAATAGCGAAGGCTTCTATGGGGAAAATAGTGAACAATTCAGGAAGCATCATAAGAAGATGGAAGCAATACACAGAGTCACTTTACTAAAAAGAACTGGTCAATGTTCAGTCATTTCAGGAGGCAGCATATGATCAAGAACAGATAGTACTGAAGGAAGAAGTCCAAGCTGCACTGAAGACACTGGCGAAAAACAAGCCTTCAGGAAATGATGGAATACCAACTGAGATGTTTCAACAAATGGATGCAGTGCTGGAAGTGCTCACTCGTCTATGCCAAGAAATTTGGAAGACAGCTACCTGGCCAACCAACTGGAAGAGATCCATATTTATACCTATTCCACAGAAAGGTGACCCAACAGAATACAGAAATTATCAAACAATATAATTAATATCACACATAAATAAAATTTTGCTGAAGATCATTCAAAAGCAGTTGCAGCTGTACATTGACAGGGACCTGCCAGAAATTCAAGACAGATTCAGAAGAGGACGTGGAACCAGAGATATCATTGCTGTTGTCAGATGGAGCTTGGCTGAAAGCAGAGAATACCAGAAAGATGTTTACCTGTGTTTTGTTGACTATGCAAAGGCATTCGACTGTGTGGATCATAACAAATTATGGATAACACTGCGAAGAATGGGAATTCCAGAACACTTAATTGTGCTCATGAGAAACCTGTACATAGATCAAAAGTTTTGAACAGAACGAGGAGATACTGCGTGGTTTAAATCAGGAAAGGTGTGCATCAGTGTTGCATTCTTTCGCCATACTTATTCAATCTGTGAGGGTAATAGAAGGCACTACATCTACAACCACATCCTTCAATCTGGCATCCTATGTTTAATTCTTGAATCTGAGATCTGTTCATTCACTTTCGTTTCTAACGTTTCTCCATGTTCTAAATAACTCCCAGTCTATGCCCTCCAACTTCCCATTCTTGGCCTTTGAGCCCTACCCTAAACTCTACTTGGCCTATGAAGCCTTCCCTAGTTATAGGAAGTTGAATGATAAATAATCAATTCACTTACTCCCTCTAGCATGAAAAAGAGAGTTTGTTGGACTCAAACCAGAGAAAAGAATGTGCTGTTTACTTTCGTCTCAATTAATGTAGCAGGCCTGGTGGAGATGAAGAAGGTAGAACACTATATTAGGTGTGCTTTCCCCATACCAAGAACTTGACTCCCTCGCCACTGCCTGTAGTACAAGCC